TATTATCATAAATTCCAAGACAATTTCTCATGATTCCTTTAAATTTCAGCATTTAAAGCTACAGACGCAGGATTTCAGCCGGTTTATCAAAACATTGTCTTGCATGAACAAAAATTATTTGTCTTGCGAAAGCGTACAGGGAACTTCAGCTCCTAAGATACTGTAGTTGATGAGCAAGGCCGTACTCTTACTTTATAAATGATGTGAGATTCTATGATAATTGCAATTCATAACTCTGAGTCATGTTCAATATATGCTTGACCCTGCAATTTGTTTAATACAATGGACTTAAGCTCGAAGAGGTGCACAACTACGTCTATCTGAAAGAGCTGTTCTGTGTAACTGACAACCGATTATGAGAAATCAGTAGAAGAATGAAAATGGCATGAAGTACTTTTGGAAAATTGAAAATGATGTTCTTACTCCGGAAAGTGTCCTTTTGCTTGAAATGAAAATATTATACCATTATGTGCTTCCAGTGATAACAAATGTAAACTAAACTTTAACTTGAAGCCTGAAAACGATCCATAAATTGCAGACTGTCCAGTGCGCCACGAAAATGTGTACGTTGGTAGTAGGAAAAAAATCAGATGGCAAATGAATAGGCAAGATCACAAAAGAGTTTGCGAAGTCATTGACTGAGCGAATATGTTCTATTGCTAACGGGCAGGAGATGTTGCAAGAAGAACCGATGATGCTTGAACCAGAGAAATATTAGCCTCTGTTCCAAGACACTGTAAACAGTCTGTAAGAAGACCTATAAATTGCTGGCAAATGAGCTGAAGAAGTACGTTGGATCAAGATGGATATGAACTGCAAGAAATTGAAGTTTATGGCAAAGTTTTGAAGAAATTTATATCCAGCAGTGACCGAAAAAGGCCAGCAACGACTATGTTTTTCTTGGAGACACTCAACGTCACATCTTCCGTTACCTTAAGGCGGTTTCTGCTGAAGTTTGAGGGATCCCTAAGAATGGGTCAATATGGCCTCATTTTAATTAAGATGTATCGGAAACATGCTCTCTTCTAATACATGGTTAGAATACGACCATATCGTGATTTTATTGTTTGTTACTGGTCATTAGGTGCATCTGTTAAAATCTTTGTGCTCCATGCAGGCCCATTTACTCTCTGCCGACGCTTATGGCGAGGATAAGAGAACAAACATGTTCTAACCTTCCTCAGCTAAATGTTTCCTCATTGGATTGAGTTTCGTTGTACCTTTGTCTTATGAGACAAAATCATCTGGGTCCTTCACTACACCAGCAACTCTTTATATGATAACTTGAGTTTATTGCAGTTGTCAGTTTATTATTGCAATTATCCTGCATGACTTCGAAGCATGTGAAAACCACAGCCTTTGATTTGCGGCTTCAGGGACAACGCGTGCACTTTATTTACGACCGACGGTAAAAACAGATTAACAGCTAATTCTCTGTTCTAGCAGCAGAATAGCGGCAAGTTTGCAGAGGCCAATTGCCACTGTTTGGTTTTTTCGAGTGTTCATTGCCAAGAGCGAATGAAAATCTCGGACAGCTTGTCTCGCGCGTTATTTCCTCATCATGGCAACGCCCTAGCAGTTCTGTAGAATAGCTGCGCCAGAGCCTGCGGAAGAAGGACGTCCTCGCTGAAAAACGCATTTGCATTGGCGACAGTCTTCACATCTGTGAAACAATTGTGATCTCGCCAGCGGCTGTTCTCACGGTGCCATCGTCACAGCTGGACAGACATGTACAAGCATATTGCTGATGAGACAGATCACCGTTGCCTGTCTCCGCGTGAGGAAAATAACCATACAGAGGTTGCTAGTAAGTCGGTGTCAGTTGAACGCGGTCGAACTGTGGCACACGTCCATTGCTTTAGAAGACCAATCTGACGATCTCCAAAACCCGCTGAAGGACGACCCTCGCTTTCAGTTTTACAGACTGTTCTCAGAGAAAGAAAAGGAAGCGCTGAAAATAAGTTACGACCGTTTCATCAACGAGCCAAAGGAGCTTGCCATGTCCGTGTTCATTAAGTAAGGGCATTCGTTGATTCGCTCACCGAATGTTAGTGATCGCTTTTGTGAAGCACTGCACCTGCTGACAGGCAGCGTCTAAACGTCATTCTAGTCTCTACCATGTTTCGCGTATAAAAGTTACGATAGAAGTTGCATACGGCAAACGATTGCCTCCATGTTTTAGAGAAGGTAGCTGTCGCAAAATAGAATAATAAGTTGCTTAGCATATTAGTGTCGAGTTCATGCCCTACGAGCGAAATAAATTTCGTCTTATTAATTGCTAATCCAGTTAATCAATGAATTGATTCCATGGTGCTTTGGTGCGACCAGCCAAACAGCGGGTCGCAGGTCGTGGACCCGCGAATAGTAGGGGCAGCATGGTTTTTTGGTGTAGTCATATCAAAGCGGGAGA